AAATAATTTTCTCCAGGATGCCTTCCTGACTCCCAGCACTGGCTGAGGTGTCCCCGCTCCCGGCCCCCGCCCCCGCCTGCCCCGTGCTCACATTGCATCTTGTTCTTCCCTCTTCGCAGTGCTAATCACACCCAACTGTAAAGCCGTTTTCCTCTCTGGACCAGAGCTCCTGGGGGAGGGGGCCCTTGTTGGATTTGTTTCTGTGCCCCTAGCATCTAGAACAGAGCTTGGCTTGCAAAAAGGCACTGGGCTGCGCACTGAAACTTTGCGCACCTTCCTGTCTGCTGAATGAATGGGAATCAGGCTGTCTCCCTGGCTGCTGGGGTGTTAAGGGGAAGAGCGGACCTGGAGGACCCGCAGGTGCCTCTCAAGGCTGGAGCTATTTCCCTCCATCCTCTGCTTGGCTCCCCCTAGTGGCAGCTGGGCAGCAGTGACCGGTCCTGTGGGCCACGTTGGCCCAGGCAGGAAAGGGACGGGCAGGGGAAGCGTCCTCAGCCAGGCTTCAACTCCTACTGGGCAGCCCTACCCTGCCTGGCTGCAGCCACAGAGTCCCCATCCACGGGGCCACCAGAGGTCCTACCCCACGAGCTTTGAGGGTGAGGACTGAAGTCGGGTAGTGTGGCTCCAGGCTAACCTCCATGCTGGAGGTGGAAAACTGCTGTTCCGTGTATTGCCCTTGCAAAATGGATTAGTCAAGCCTGGCTGCCCTCTTTTGTCTTATATTCAAACCCTGGATCCAAGCCACAAAATGTGAGTGAGCTCAGGGCAACACTGTGGATGAAACGACAAGACCCAGCTGCGACGTGAGTGGATGCGCCGAGTGTGGCCGTGGGGACTTGGAAAATCTAAGAATGGAGTCAGTTGCAAACACAAAACGGGGTGGAAGGGGATGGGATGAAGGCCCGTTGGTTTGATTTTGCTGCAAAATGAGCTTTCCGTTCCCCCATTTGGAGTTTCATAGTTTATAGCTGAGCTACTGGAGGAAGGCCTTAGGGAAGAGAGGTGGGCGGGGAGGGGAAGGGAGAGATGGGAGAAGGGTCTCACTCTGGTGGCTTAGGGCATGCGTAGGAACAGTAGCCTGTCACTGAGGGGCATCCAACAGGCCAGCGACAAAGAGGATCACACTCGCACACTCTCAGGCTGGAGCAAGGAATCAGCCAGTTTTCTGAGTCTCGGGGTTGCTGGTGAGGTGACCAAGGGCTGCAATGGAAAAAGCTTCCCTGCCCCTTGGTCTCTCCTTTCCCTTCACTCACGAGCAAAACCACAAGAGAACAACCTCAAAAAAAGACAAGTGGGCCTAAGAAGCTTCATGGCCAGGCTACTAAGGAACCTCAGAGGCCAAAGGCATTTAGGTGTGCGGGCAGGAGAGCGAGGCGGAGAGGGGAATGGAAGATGGTGATCAGGAAGAAGTGTCCGCTTTCTTGGAGCCCTTGGTGCTGAGACACAAAGTGATCTCCGGAAGGGTGATGTCGTAGGAATCAGTGCAGCCACCACGAGCCCTTTCCCTTTGCAATCACTGGGGCCACGGAGAACAGAACTAGATAATCATTACCATGGGTGTTCTGGGTCTGAATATACCTGTGGCTATCTTAGCTCCACCACAGTTGTCCCACAAATACCTAGACTTTGAAAAAGGGGACTTAGAAGACACATGTTATCAATGATTCTGTGGAACACCGCACTTTATCCATCAGGATTTGGGGCAGAATTTCCTTTACTCCTAAACAGGGAGTATCAGAGTAGTAGAAAAAAGGTCTGCAGGAGAAAAGACCGGCCTCAAAACATGGCCGGAATAAAGGAGGAGGTGGTGGCGGGGGGGCGGGGGGGAGTCCTGAGCTGTAGCATTCTTGCCTTTAAACCATGACCTGACGTCATGATAGGAGCCACCTGTTAAACCATGACCTGACGTCATGATAGGAGCCACCTGTTCCAAGCAGCTGTAGGGTGGGCGGTGGGGGGGGGGTTGGGGGGAGATACCCCCGGTGTGTTCTTTTGGATAAAAGCCTTTGCAAAAGGCTGAGCCTGTAAGAACAGCCTTCTGGGAGAGCCAGCAGTTGGCAAAAAGGCAGCAAATGACTAACAGGCACAAGGTCAATCCTTGGCCTGAAAATGAGGTGTCAGTTAACTTCCAGTATGTTCCTGCCCCATGGTTGTATTAATTCTAATCCTCCCTTCTCCCATTTGCAGCTATTGAGGGCAGTATAGAGGACTCTGGTAAGCTGTTACCATGTGATGGGCGGAGGCGGGTGGTGCTTTGGCTTCGCTGGAGGACGCATCTGGTGGGAGGCTAGAGGTGTCCACTGAAAGGTAGGAGGCTGCCTCCCCTTCCTAACCGAATGTAATGGCTCGTCTCACCACTAGGGCATTTATTCCTTCAGTGGTCTTTAGTCTGCATGGGGGGCCCAAAAGCAGGGCAGAACCTTCTTCCCTCATCCTTACTTCTGAAGTTCTTTCTGGGGGTGTGCCTCCAATACCCAGATCGCTTTCCAGAAGCCTCTTCCCCACTCCACAACCAGAGCTAGTAAGAGACTACTAGGCAAGATCGCTAAGAGGGGCAGGTCTTTCTTCTTTAAATAATTTGACAGAGAGAGAGACACTGCGAGAGGGAATACAAACGGGGAGTGGGAGAGGGAGAAGCAGGCTTACCGCCGAGCAGGGAGCCCGATGTGGGGCTTGATCCCAGGACCCTAGGATCATGACCTGAGCAGAAAACAGAGGCTTAACGACTGAGCCACCCTGGCGCCCTAGGTTTTTCTTTTTTTTAACTGCAGGCTTTCTCCATGATCCTAATAACCCTCAGGCCAAGGGCTACATGCTATTAACAGTCCAATTAAATAAACTCTCCAGCAGAAAACGCTTCTATTCCCAATCTGGCAGGGAGATTGGTAGCCCCAATTTGCAATGAAATCTCTTGTAAAGGCATTAGCTTGGGGACTCCGTTGAGGTGAGGTTTCTGTTGTCCCAAGGCCTCTCCCATCCTCTGGCTCAGAGGGTGGAAGGTGAGGGATGTGGAGAAGCTGGGGATGCCTTTCGCTCAGCAGCAGGCATCGGGCCCTTACAGGTGCAGGCTGATCCTGGCTTTGGTGCCTCCCCTCTCACCCGCCACCTCTGTTCCTGCCGCCGTTCCCTAGTCGAGATCCACTTGCCTTCCAGGGCCCTTGGGGGCTCTCCCGCTTAGAGGAGCTTGTGGCACTTGGCTGGGTGCCATAGGGGACTCAATACTGACCCTCTCCCAGGCAGAGGGGCCAAAGGTGGGGACCAAGGGCCTCTCCTGAGTGACCTTAAAACCTCATCCTAGGAACTGAGTGACCCAAGGGGGCCCACAGTAGAGTCGAAATGTTTGGACACAGCAAGCCCTGACCCACTGACCCAGTACTTCAGGAAGCTGCATGATGGGCAGGTTAGGGCACTGATGCTTCACGTCAGTGGCTCCTGGAGCAGCAGCCCGACCAGGTGAATGTGGACTAGCAGGTCAGAGGCACATACTTCAGAGCCCACCTCAATCCCTTTGGAATCACCCCCCCTTTTTTTTCCCAAAAGACTCACTGTAAAGTTGAGACCCCAATATTCAACGTAAAGCGCAACCAAGGCAAACAAAAGCAGAACCAGGCTTCAAAGATAAAGGGGCGCTGAGCTCTGCAGAAAGCTCTGGAAGCACGTGGCTTCTCCCGAAGAAAAAGGGCACCCTTATTGGATGAGGCACCAAAAACAAAAACAAAACCAAAACAAAAAAACCCCACTGAGCGTTCTGGAATGCATTATAATTCATTCTTCAATTGTACACATTTATCTTCCCTGGTTTTTAATTAGGAGGCCTGATACGAAATGCCACATGTGTCTACTACCGATGGAGGGAAATTTTGCATTTGGCAAAATTGGTTCCAAATGAATAAATGATAGAAACTACACTCTTCCTATGAGAAAGTACTGAATGTCCAGCCGTGGGGAGTACCAGAGATCCAGCAGGCCTGACATGCAATGTACCCTCTGGTATATAAGGCACAGAATTAAACCCTATGTAGTTCTCGGTAAACCCCAGACTTCTTAAGGTCTTACTATTGAACAGAACTGTGGCCAAGGTCTTCTCTTGGCTGAACCATGCAGCGAACAGTCTAGAGACGCGGACGAGCTATCATTAGGCAGCAAGACCCCTTAGACCAAATCTGCAACAGAAAGATTGGTACAGACACGATACGGACCCACAAATCACACACAGACACTTTATTAGTTTCCTCTACAAGAGACAATAACATCAGTCTTTAACAGAAATCTCAGGTCACTGGAGAGACCAAAGAGATGGAAGGAAGATGAAATATTTAAATTAATCAAAAGGCACTACGACCCCACCTAAAACCTACTACCATGGTGGTAGCGGGCTATGGAAGATTACTCTATGGCAAAAATAATCCCGTGTCAATGTCAGAGATTACACAGCAGGAAGCGACTTTGCTTTCCAGAAGACTGGTATGGGGAACACTTGTGCCCAGAGGACATCTGGCCAGGGGAAGGGCAACATGGCTGAAGGTCAAGCCAAATGGAAAGGAATGGCCACAAAGGAGAACCCAAGCGACACAATCGCCGAGCAGGGGATGAAAGATCAGGCTTTTTCCTCCCGAGAAGCAGTCATTGCCCTGTGTGCTGCCTCCCCAACCAACCCGGGGCACCCCCACGCCCTCCAGAGAGTGGCCTTACAGGACTCAGAGGCCCAAGCTGGGGCTGCCTAGGGCTCTTGCTGTCATTTCACAGACTTTTGAGAACCTGTCACAGGCTGGGGGTGGAGGGGGGAACCGGGGTGGCTCTGTTGCCAGGAGTTCTGAACCAAGGAAACCCTGAAGTATTCACATGCAAAGTAGTCTGTGCTTCCCCCCTCCTCCCCGGGGCCACATTCAAATACCCCTGCACAGCGCCCTCCAGAGCCTGAAATCTCGCTGCTGGGCTACAGGTAAAGCTACAAGGCTCAAAGCAGCGTCAAGCCAGAATGAGACAATGCAGGCGGCGGAGGTGGGGGGTGGGGGGTGGAAATCACAGCAGTTTGTCTCAATCCGTCTTTCTCTACATTTAGGAGAAATGCTAATACACCCGATGAGGGGTTTAGAAAGCCAGGCCTTCGGTGGAATTTGTCATCAAATACCAAGGGAAAACAAGGGGGTGGGGTTCACTTTGTAAAAAGCCTCAGCGGTTACTCTATTATAAAGGGACGTGGCTGAACAGGTAGGAAACGGATTCCCCGTTGTGAGTTCTCCTGATGGCTTCTGCCAGGATCATGGAGATGTCGATCACCTATGGGAGCCGAGAGGAGCATCAGGTTAGTGGCACACAGAGGACAAACCCGCTGGCCGCCACTGGTGAGCAGCATCACATGGGGCCTTCCCCTTCAGATGGCAGCACAGGGCTGTGTCCCCTCGTGAGCCACCCCAGCTATATTCTGCATAGTATTTCTCCATATGAAGTTCAGAGACTCAAGGGATTCGTGTACACACTTTTAATGAAGCAAGGCCTTGTTCTTTCAGTGCAACAGCTCTTAAATAATTACTTGGGGGAATTAAAGGAGTGGTCCCAGGACCTCCTGGTTTTGTGGGTCTCAAATGGAGCCAAGGAATCTGCGTTTTAACAAGAACCCTAGGTAATTAACTTAGGCTGTTTCCATAGCAGGCTCTGAGACACCGAAGTTCTGAGGGGTGTACCCCCGTTCACAGGTTTCCCACTGTGTCTGCAGGGGCCAACAGCTAAGAGTGACACACGCACAGTGTAAAGCATGGACTTGCAAAGTGGAGTGTGTATCACCATCACTGAGAGAGTCCTCTGACCTCCAGAGGTTCACCTTGCAATCTGAACTTTTAAGCGTGATTTTTTTTCCTTTGGGGTCACAGGTCCTGATGACAGACTCAGCCCTTAAGGGCAAAGGAGGACATCTTCAGAATCCAGACCCCCAACTCGCCACAGGCAACCGCCTCCTGAAAATACCTCACAGAGACTTCTTTTGCAAAAGTCCCCTCCTCACCTGTATTTTGGAGCAATGCTTCATCTTATCCTCTTGAGGTATGGTATTGGTGACAACTACTGCTTCAAAGCATGCGTTGTTAATGCGAGAAATGGCTGGGCCAGAAAAGATTCCGTGAGTCAAAATTGCATAAACTCTGGTGGCTCCAGCTGAGAGAAGTCTAGAGGAAAAAGCAGAGTTGCTCTGGATTACTCACTTGTCACTAAAGGGCCTGAGTTAGCGGGGAGGGGATTTTATCAGTCAGCTTGGGTGCCTTAAAAAAACAGATCTTGCTCTCAGTTCTAGAGGTCAAGATCAAGGTGGTGACAAGGTAGCTGTCACCCTGAGGCCTCTTCTCTTGGCTTGCTGGCAGCTGCCATCTCTCACTGTGTGCACCTACGCCTGGGGGGATCCAGCTCTTGGGAGTCTCTTCTTACAAAGGCACTATTCCCATCATAAGGATCCCCCGCCATGGCCTCATCTAAACCTAGTTACCTCTCCCAAGGGCCCCATCTCCAAATACCATCACTGGAAGCTTAGGACTTCCAGTGTATGAACTTTAGGGGGACATGATTCAGTTCACAGTTCATAGCAAAGAGAAATAACTGGACTAAGAACTTACCTGAACTGGTTCGGATTAACGAATTAAGACTGGAAAAGACTGCTAGGCTCAACAAAATCCATCGCCTTTTTATCCTGGGCACACAGCTGGACTACATTTCCCAGCCTCCCTTGCAAAGTTAGGAGTGGCCCTGTGACTTAATTCTAGCTATCAGAATGTGGGTAGATGCGATGTATACCACTGGCTGGGCTTAGAAGAATCTTCCATGGTGATTCTCCATGCTCTTGTTTTCTCTTTCTGGCTGGCCAAACTGGAAATGTCTTCCAAGGTAATCTTGGAAGCCATCTATTAAAGATGCAGCACCACAAAACCGAAAGAGGGATGCTTACCTGCACCAGAGTAAGCCAGGAACAAGAAACTATCATGGTTATGAACAGACATTTCAGGGAGCTGATCTGTTACAGGCATTAGGGTCACCTTAATCATACAAGGACGATATGAGTTTTATCAATGTGTACTCCAGGATACCAATCAGGAATTGCTCAGCCCACAAACACTTTCTTAGCCCCTATTATATGCCAGGCCCTGGGCATGGCACAGATACCCCGAGGTTAAGAAAAAATCAGGAGAAACAAGGCTCTCCACAGTCGTGTGGATTATAAGCAATGGGGAGCCACTTAAGGTTTTTAAGGAGAGGAGTGATGGGTTCTAGCCTTAGTTTCAGATAGATTAGCTAGCGGGGAGGCAACGAGAGAGAGGGACTGGGGAGGTAAGAGACTGGTGGCGGGCAGCAGAGTGAACAGAGTGAAGGCACAGCTTGGAACAGTGCAGACAAGGGGCGCCTGGGCGGCTCAGGTGGTGAACTGTCTCCCTTCGGCTCAGGTCATGATCTCAGGGTCCTAGGATTGAGCCCCACATCGGGCTCCCTGCCCAGCAGGGAGTTCTGCTTCACCCTCTCTCTCTGCCTGCCACTCCCCCACTTGTGCTCGCTCCCTCTCAAATAAATAAATAAAATCTTAAAAAAAGAAAATCACAAGGAAAATACATTTATAGTACCGCGCTGTATTTATAAAAACAAAATGCATAAATGGACTCACACAATTCAAATCTGTATGAAGGGCCAATCCCTATCTTTTCAGGCCCATACATATCTACTTCCTTTGTTTTTAAAAACTACCAAACAGGGGCGCCTGGGTGGCTCAGTGTGTTAAAGCTTCTGCCTTCGGCTCAGGTCATGATCTCAGGGTCCTGGGATCGAGCCCCACATCGGGCTCTCTGCTTGGCGGGGAGCCGGCTTCCTCCTCTCTCTCTGCCTGCCTCTCTGCCTACTTGTGATCTCTGTCAAATAAATAAATAAAATCTTAAAAACAAACAAACAAACAAAAAACTACCAAACATAGAGTACTCAAGGGCACCTGGGTGGCTTAGTTGTTAAGCATCTGCCTTCAGTTCAGGTCATGATCCCAGCATCCTGGGATGGAGCCCCACATTGGGCTCCCTGCTCAGCGTGCAACCTGCTTCTTCCTCTCCCACTCCCCTGCTTGTGCTCCTGCTCTCACTGTCTCTCTCTCTCTCTCTCTGTCAAATAAATAAAAATAAAATCTTTAAAACAAACAAACAAAAAGTCGAGTATTCAGAGTGGTCAAAACATTTTGCAAATAAAGTGGTGACAGTCGCACGACACTGCCAATGTAACTAATGGCCCTGAATTGTACACCTAATGTTCAAAACGGCCAATTTTATACTCTGTATGGTTTAGCATAATAAAGTCAGGAGATATGAGGGGGGATATTCATCAACGTATGCACACTGCAACTCAAGCCTCAGGTGAGAAATCTCCCAAAGCTAGTTACCATCCCCCTCGACTCACTTCCATGAGAATCCGCTGGCATAAGGCACTGAGATGGCATCGGGCTATGTGTTCCCTTTCTGACCACTGGCCCCACCTCTCCTCACTCACTTGTCAGCAGCATGGCAGATTGTGCCACAGGTGTCAGCCATGTCATCCACTAGGATGGCCACCCGGTCCTTCACGTCTCCCACCAGCACCATGCGGTCTACTTCGTTAGCCTTCTTCCGTTCTTTGTGAATCAGAGCGAAGTCCACGTTCAACCGGTCTGCAATGGAGGTCACTCTGCAAAACAGGGTGTTCGAAGTTAAACCTAAGGACGAAAGACAGGGACTAAACGATGGGCTTGTTTTCCGGCGGGGAGGTGCAGGGGGAGGGAGGGAACACTCTTTGAAACCAAACTGTTCCCAGGGCTGGAAGAAAAGAGCTCTCATTGATTGACTTCTCAGAGGCCAAAGGCACAAAGTGGGTTTTATAGACTAAAGCCTCCATATCCTGAGAGCAGTTTATGAGCGTATTAGTCAGACTTCGATTACAATTAATTCTGGTTTACAGCGAGCGGGGGATAGCCAGATGCCTCACCAGTCCCAGGAAGCAGTAGGATGCGAAGGCACGTTCATTTAATAGATTGGCAGCAGAAGGGGGAGAGAGAGAAGACGTCATTAACTAAGGCCGCGAGTGCACAGATTGGCCCAATTTGACATGCGGATGTTGTGAAAAGTGAACCTGAACCTGGCAGGAGAGGAGTCAGAATGCCTGTGCTCTCACCACACTCCCCTCAGTGCTCCACCAACTGTCAATGTCAACTGTACCTGGACACCAAGCTTGGAAGTTCCTTTTAGGAGCGCTAGAAAGAAAGTTATACCAATTAACCAGGAAAACTGGACATCTGGCCGCACAGCCCAAAGTATCTCCAAGTCAAAACGTCAGTCTCATTTTGCTATTACACAATAATACAAACCGAACTAGAGGGTGGGACGGGAAGACCGATCTCTAATGACCAAGTCCCGTATAACAATTCACTCAACCAGAAATCGATTCAGCGTAAATGACAGCGAGCTGCTCAGTGTAAATGGCGTGCAGGCCCGTGGTCTGCTGTGTCATCCTCCCCCCGTCCATGAAGAAGCCTGTGCCTTGGGTCTTTTTTTTTTTTTTAATGCAGCACTGATCCAACCAGAGCATTATGCCCGGTTTCTGCTGTGACCATGGTCACGTGACTGATGTTGTGCTGGATAGGGAGAATGCATGACCCTGTCACAGAGAACACAAAAGATCCGAACCACAACTTGGATGGCATCTGTACCCTGACCTAGGGACCACAGCCTGTGCTCTCTGTGACTACTGGGTGGGCAAGAGGAACATCAAGAATAACCCATCTGCTTGGAACATTTATTATCCAAGACAAATGCATGATCCAATTAGCTCAAGTGTCCCCGACCGTCCAGACTCGATGGCCAACAAACTCAATGACCGACAAAGCAGAAGGGCTGGAAAAGTCATTCCTTATACCCCTGAGGGGAGAAACTGCAAGTCACCAGCACACGGGGATCTCCACCTACTCCGAAAACCCTGCCAAGGCAGAAGTGATAACAGCCACTCACTCTGAAAACACTCCACTGCTGTTAAGAACATTATCAACACACACACAAGAGAGTCACCTACTGAAGGCAGTTTTCCCGTACCCAACTTTGGAAAGAAAAGCTTGCCTGATTATTTATTTAAATCAAACATGACTATTTTCTAAGTCCCATGGCAAGATGGGAAAATACTGGCCAACAAGTTAAGACAAGTTTGACAACTACCAGTAGGGGGATGCTTCTTAGGCGCACTGCTTTTACAGATGGTAACTCGCAATTACGTGGGACTCACGAAGCCATGTCTCTGGCTGAATAATGGAACCCAAGTTCTCAGTTTGGTGGTTCTGCTGAAGTTAGTGAAATAATGTTATTGAGAAACAGTCACTGAAAATCTGAGTGGCTTCACAAGGATCTGAATTAGCTTTTCCTAATCATCTGTGTTTTGTAGCTTCTTCATTCTATTTCCACCAACAAGAAGAACACGTGTTATCCTTCTGAATGCATTACTAGTGAGTGATACACCAAGGAAATCAAGAGCTCTTAGTCTGCACCAGGTGAACTGTAAAGCCCCCAAACTTGTAATCCTTGGCAATCAGTTTGTTTAAAAGGTCTTGTTTTTAAATAAAGTTACTCCACTTTATTTTCCTTCCTGCTTAATATCTTCATGCCAGAATGAAAATGGCCTAACCACCAGCATCATCAGGCACGGAAAACGCCTACTTACAACATGGTAACTACTTAAGGGCCCCCTTTGTGCTGCCCTGCCTTTCAGGCAGTGACTCAGGCCAGTAAAAGAGGGTTAGTAAAACTATGCCCAGCCTGTGCCCCAGCTCCACCCACTCTGAAGTAGAGCTGACCCTTGAAAGACATGGGTTTGACCTGTGCAGGTCCACTTAAGAGCCGATTTCTGTTGGTGCAGTGGAGTACTGAAAACGTATTTTCTCAGTAACATTTTCTTATCTCTTGCTTGCTTTCTTGTAATGTACTATGTAATTCACATAAAATACAACAGGGTTAATCAGCTGTTTATGTTACTGGGAATGCTTCCAGTTAATAGTTGGCTGTCAGGAGTGGAGTTTTGGGGTGGTCAAAAGTTCTATGTGGATTTTTGATCGCATGGGGAGGGGGGAGGGGGGAGGGGGGAGGGGGGAGGACGATACCCTGAACCCCCATGTCGTTCAAGGGTCAACTGTACTTAAAAACTGTCACCTGCTAGAAAAGTATCACTTTCTGGGGCACCTGCGGGGCGGGGGGCGGAGGCAGTTAGTTAAGACCTGCCTTCAGCTCAGGTCATGATTCCAGGGTCCTGGATGGAGCCCCCAGCCAGGCTCTCTGCTCAGCAGGGAGCCTGCTTCTCTCTCTCTCCCCCATCCATATGCTCCCTCTCGCTATCTCTCTCTCTCAAATAAATAAAATCTTTACAAAAAAGAAAGAAAAATACCACTTTCTGACACAACTGTCTAAACGACTTCCCCAGTACTTTGAGAATAATATGCATTCCGGCCATACCTCTTCGCTCCACCAGCATCAGGTGAGACAATAGTACAGTTCCTCCACTCAGAGATGTTCTCCCTTATCCATTTCAGGACAGCCGGCTCTGCATACAAATTGTCCACGGGGATATCAAAAAAGCCCTGTAGAAAGAAGCTGAGTCACGTTTGCTTTGTTTTTCTGCACTTCCATTTATAAATGACCAATACAAAGAGGTTAATAATAATCTGCCCAACGAATATCTTCCTGTAACGTTCAGACTGATTGGAAGGCATGCCTGGTGGAAGAGACTAAAAATGGCTTACTCAAGAGAGGCGGCAATGGCGGCACAAGAGAGTCCAGCCAAGATGGGCAAGGCCTGCCCTCAGCTAACCCACAACTGACGAAGGGGACATGAGTGAGCCCTTGGGAAGAATGGCCAAGTTCAGCTGATACCAGAACAGCCCAGTCAATGTGTATACTCGTGAGGTCATACTGCCTTATGCCACTAAATGCTGGGCTGGTTTGTTAGGGAGCAAGAGCTAACTGCTAAACCAGTTAGAGAAGCTAGTGGAATGTATTTATAATAATAAATGGTCACACAGAGTAATTCTAATACTAGCTGCTATTAATTAGTTGTGTTTCTCAACAAATCTGTTCCTCTTCTACGAAATGGGTGGAATCACCTACTCCGGTACCTCACTGGATTGCCACAAGCCTCCAAGGAGGATCCGAAAGTCCCTTTAAATAGTACAAAACAGAAGGTAGTATCCCACTCCCCTTTCTCTGGGTTTATGCTAGGAAGTAGGTTCTGATAGCTGTGGTTCTCAATTTAATGATGACAGTAACAGTTCCTATTTATTGAGCACCTGTCCTGGGCCACGCGTTCCACCATAAATTTCACACTCACAGTAACAACGCAGCGTATGTTCAGAGGAGTTAAAATAACCTGCCCAAGGTTACAAAGCCGCCGACTGTCAGAGCCAATATTCAAACCAGGTCTGAACCCAAACCCAATGCTCTTTCTCCGAATTCCAGCCAGCCTCCCCTACCCATCCATCCCAGAGACTAAGGTCAGGAAGTACGCTGAAGGGGAGCGTGCTTGCAGCGGTGTCAGTGTACTGGTTAATCTGAGCGGCACTTGGGCAGGTTTTTGCTTCTCTGCGGTCTCCAGCATTATCAGCTCTCTCCTCCCCAACCCCTTTCTGCTGCCCACTATTTCGCTTCCAGATACCTGAATCTGAGAAGCATGTAGGTCCATGGTGATAATATGATCCGCGCCTGCTACAGACAGCATATTTGCCACCAGCTTGGCTGAGATTGGAGCCCGGCTCTAAATGGAGGCGGAGGAAAGAAGAACAAAAAACCAAAAAAGCCTTTTTGAGAAACAATTCATTTGCTGGAGAAGCATCCCTTTAATGTGCATTTACTAGGTTCAAGGCACTGTGCTGCCAGGAAATTCATAGAAAGTGCCGTGGCCACTGACTTCATGAGTAGATCACAGTCCAGCATGAATAGTAAGCAGAGTATCACTTTTCCAAATCAGGATAGGCTTTCCGAAAAGAAAAATACCTTCCTACCTTTGGTTTTCTTAACTCAATGTGCATAGTTTCAGCCTATCGAGTGTTGCAATGCTCAATTATTTAAACCAGGCAGACTTAAAAAAGAACAGGCAAGTACACCTGCTGCACTATAAAACAGCAAAGCCCTTGCGCTTTACTCTGTGGGAGCACTATACTCTCTCAGAATAAAAATATCTGGCCTTCTCCCAGTCATTGTATGCAAAATCTAAGCACCGATTATTACAACAGTCCTGGCAAAGTTTTATGTGTATTACCTTAGCCTCTAATACAGCAGACAAATGAGGTGAGATGTGTATGTGTGTAATGAGACTAAGCATTCGTGTAACCGACTTCCAAGTTTGATGAAGAGGTCACAGCTGGAACCCTGAGAGGGTCCCAGAGGAGCTACGAGAGTTTAAAAAATAATTCTCCTCCATGGTAGCTGGTGCTTAGTCCTACTGACATAATGAAAAAGTCGCAGTGAGCTAACTGGAAGTCACATAGGAATAAGTGGAACACAGACAATGAATGTGTTGATTTATATAAACCAACCCCACGTCAATTGTTTCTGAACACTGGGTGATACCTATGAGGATGTGATAAAAAAGTAATACACCTTCTACATATGGGTCTGAGGATTTAGGAGTTTTTGTGACTTTGGGCAAGTGCTTCTTATGATTAAAAAAAAAAGTTTTTTTTTCTTAAAGGAGATTCTGCTCCCACCTTATCCTTTTTATCCTGTCGGGCATAAGGGAAGCATGGGATGACTGCAGTAACCCGGCTGGCTGAGGCAATCTTGCAGGCATTAATCATGATCAAAAGCTCCATTAGATTGTCATTGATTTCGCCACAACCACTCTGAAGAATGTAGACATCCTCTCCACGTACGCTTTCTCCAATCTCCACACTACAACGAGAAAGGAAGGAAAGCAAAAACAAGGAAGATATTTTATTTAAAAAAATTTTTAAAAGATTTTATTTATTTATTTGAGAGCAAGAAAGTGAGAGAGAGAGAGAGAGAGCATGGTGGGGGAGGGTCAGAGGGAGAAGTTGACTCTCCGCTTAGCGGGGAGCCTGATATGAGACTTGATTCCAGACTCCAGCACTGTGACTGGAGCCAAAGGCAGAGGCTTAACCACTGAGCCACCCAGGGGCCACAAAAATCAAAGAGATTTTAAAGCACTATACTACACTTCTATGGACAGCAAGGTCTAAAAAGTACACCTTCCCTACTACTGTGCTGTTCATGGGTTACAGCCCAGTGGGGGTCATGTGGACACACGGTCATATGGACACATTCCCTCACTTTGGGAGAGCCCCTGGAGGAGGCCCTGTACCGGAAACAGTCTACTGCCTCAGTTTACTCCAGTAGCCATACGAATAGCTACTTTTACATGTGATGTGGCAAGAAGATTGGCTAAAGCACTCACAAGTACTTGGAACGTAATTTCAGTGAGCTGCCTATATCTCATTATAAAGAGGAACAGGACATGTGAATGCAAATTTGACACAAAATCTGTGACTGTCACAGTCCACCCAGAACAAAATCAGAAAGATCACGTAAGGAGTGAGTCACTACTGTTCTATAGTGATGCCTTCTACAGAAGCCAATACATCTACCACATTGGCACCTCACTCAATAGTCCATGTTCATATGCCAGTCATTTTGCTAAGTTCCAAAGACACGTGGAGAACAAAACAGATGTGGCCCTTGCCTCCATTTTATGCTAACTGTATTCTGTCCAGTTAGTAAGTCTTGTTTAAAAACCATTCCACAGGAATTATGGAGTAGGGCTATACTTTACCATAAAAAGAAAGTTTTAACAGCCACGCTTGGATCCTTACCAAGAATAACTTAGGATTAAAAAATCATAACCTCCGTGACACCTCACAGCAACACCACTTCCCGAATTTAACCTGCAGGGGCGGCGGGGGTTATTTGCAGATGTGTGTGTACAGTATGTAGTGTGTATCAATCAGGACTAGGCCAGAGAGCTGATGACTTCTAGCCATCAAGAGCAAAACTTCAACGGGAGGTAATTCCATTGCCAGAAGCAGCTGATACAGAAGATAATTATTTAATATTTATTCCTTTCCAATCCAAGCGACAGTTGATTTTAAAAAGAATGGGATTAGTTTATATTACAAAGCAAGAAAAATAAGCGCTAATGGTAAAAATCAAGCCAGAAATCAATGAGAACAGGGAGGCTGAGATTCCTGGTAGCCAGAACAAAGAGGAAAACACATTGGTCTGGAGTTATCTGGAGATAAACCTTCAGGCACTGAATTCAAGAAGTATTTTATACTAGGGATCCTCACATTAAAAGTGCATTATTTTCTCAATAATCAATATCAATAAGGCACATCTGGGTGACTCAGTCAGGTAAGTGTCTGCTTTTGGCTCAGGTCATGGCTCAGGGTCCTGAGATCAAGCCCCACGTGGAGCTCCCTGCTCAGCAGGGAGTCTGCTCCTCCCTCTCCCTCTTGCTGACTCTCTAGCTCAAATAAATAACCTTTAAAAAAGCAAAAAAAAAATCAGTATCAATAATCTTAGTTCCTATACTGATAAAGTAGAAAATGGGCAAAATAAACCCGAAGTAAGCAGAAGAAAATAACCGTAAGAGCAAAGTCAGTGAAACTGAAAACAGGAAAACAATAGCGAGAAACCAGTGAACACAAAGCTGGCTCTTGGGGGAAGGGGAATTAAAAAACTGGTAAGCCTCGGGGCACCTGGCTGGCTCAGTGGTTCTTGATCTTGGAGCCCAATGTTGGGTACAGAATTTAGTTAAATAAACTTCAAAAAATTTTGAAAAAAGAAAAAAAAAAAGATAAACCTCTAGCAAGACTAACCAGAAAACAGCTTCACTGGAGAGCTCTATCAAACATTTGAAGAATGAACACAAATTGTGCACCATCTTTTCCAGAACTCAGATGAGATGGGAATATTTCCAACGCATTTTACATTTTAAGAGGCCAGTATCAGCGAGACACCCAAAGCAGACAAAAGCAAGCTAAGGAAACTACCCAGAGGGAGAAGTGTGGGTGTGGTTACAACAGGAAGGAGCCTTGCGGTGACAGGATGGTTTTTTATCATGCCTCTCGCATTAACACCATAGTTTGCCAAAAAACTATAGTTTGGAAGAACTCTCGTTGGGAGACTTGGGAAAACTGGGAAATGGGTACACAGGATTTCTTGGTATCATCTCCTACAATTACATGTGAATCTGCGAGTGCTGTGAAATTTGGTTTTAACAACAAAGGGCATTACGCCCCTCTCGTCCAGTTGGATTACGGTCTGAGAAACTACGTTAATACGGTGAGGGAATCTGGAAAACTCAGTTTTCTGATTTGATAAATAGCTCTTCTCCAAATATCTTCTCCCTAGTTTACTATGCGGCAGTCACATGGTCTGTCTTCCTCTAAGTTCCCTGCATCCATCCCTCCTCACGTCAGCATCCTGCACTTCATCCCACTACCTGGAATGGTCTTTCTGTGAGCAGCTCATTTATTTCTCAGGTCTTCAAAGTGTGTCCTCTGACTATCTTAATTAAAAAAAAAAAAAAAGGTGACCTCCCTGAAGACCAAAAGATTAAAAGTGACTTAAAAAAAAAATCAACCGGGGTGCCTGGGTGGCTCAGTTGGTTAAGCATCTGCCTTCAGCTCAGGTCATGATCCAGGGGTCCTGGGACTGCGCCCAGCACTGTCTGGCTCCCTGCTCAGTGGGGAGTCTGCTTCTCCCTCCTCCCCACTGCTCGTGTTCTCACTTGCTCTCTCAAATGAATAAATAAAAAATCTTAATAAAATCAACCAATTGTGCCATATGAGCTTCATTTGCATGCCGAGTCAAGAAAGCAAGCCCCCCCCCCCATTATGAAACAGGGAAATTTGAAACCCTAGTGCTCTTTTAGGCAAGAAAATGGTATCGTAGTTACTGAAATACATATGGGTGTTAGGATAGAACATCCATGTTTGTTTCAAAATAATTGTGGGGAGGTGTGTGGGAGGGGAGATTGACAGATGAAACAAGATTAAAGTCAGTAATTGATAACCTTTGATCTGGGTGGGTGATGTGTACACTGGAGGAGACCATTATACTATTCTGCTTCTGTTTGTTTGAAATGTTCCCTAACAAAGTGACCCTCCCCAATTACTACCTTCACAACTTACTACTTATCATGACTTGTTACCGCTTTATTTTTTACCCACTTGTTAATGGTCATCTGTTCCCCTGGACTGCAAGCTCCGTGAGGGCGGGGACCAGATCTGTTGTGCTCTTCTGGACACAGTGAATTAGTAAGCACCCCCTCAGGATTAGGCTGCCCCTTGAGAGCCACTCACTTGAGTCAGAATGCAAACCTTCTGCAGGTGTGCTACTGAGAAGATTCAGAAGCCTGGCTTCCATCATCCCTCACAAAGTAACTCACTTCACACTAGAGGCAAGTGAGTCCAACCTGTTTCTTTAGGATTTTGATAAATCTGCTCATACCCTTTCCACAGACAGATACCCAGCTGGCAGAGATTTTGTTTTGGGTAGAACCACAACCTGTTGGGCCCACCAGAGTGGGAAGAGTTACGAAGAATTTTATGGCAGGATCCTGCAATCTTGATACAAGAGGCAACCTAATGAACAATATGGCACTTTTGTGGACCCTGGTTTAGCTTAACCGACTGCTAGTTGTTTTTTTTTTTAAGATCTTATTTATTTGAGAGAGACAGAAAGAGAGAGAACGAGTCAGGGGGAGGAGTAGAGGGAGAAGCAAGACTCCCCACTGAGCAGGGAGCCCCACGTGGGACTGGATCCCTGGAGCCGCGATCATGACCTGAGCCAAAGACAGATGCTTCACCGACTGACCATTTATTTCTCATTTATGATGCCCTGTGAACTGCCATCTATTAATCACCAGGATCAGCCTTAAAAAGCAACAGACTCTGTCGGTAATGTTAACTATGCCAATGCCAAAACTGCTTTCTGAAGACACTTCAAAAATTCAAATGAACACGGGTGCCTGGGTGGCTCAGTGGGTTAAGCCTCTGCCTTCAGCTCAGGTCATGATCTCAGGGTTCTGGGATCGAGCCCCGCATAGGGCTCTCTGCTCAGCAGGGAGCCTGCTTCTCTCTCTCTGCCTGCCTGTCTGCCTACTTGTGATTTCTATCTGTCAAATAAATAAATAAAATCTTTAAAAAAAAATTCAAATGGACAAGGAGAAGGGAGCCAGGAAAGGCTTTCTGGGAGAGCAACTTCCACGTTTCCAAAGTGTAGGTCCTAGAATGGCACCGTTCAGTCTGGGAGGCACTGGACTTGTGTGGTTACCAAGCACTTGAAATGTGACTAGTGTGAGGAACTGAACTGAAATGTGCGAGAAGCATAAAATACACACTCTATTGTGAGGATGGTATAAATAAAAGGAAAAACGTATTGTCACTTAAGTGTTAAAACTACCCTATTTGGGGATATGCTGGGATAAATAAAAAAGAGTATTAAAAAATTACAAACCACAAGCAGACAAGGCTGAATAACACCTCCCGGAGGAGACCATGTGCTGGTCTCCTGTAACAGGCAGTGGTGTTTAAAGAGACTTCTCTCAATTCCTTTACTCACACTGCCCACCCTGTGAGAAGTTCCAGGCTATAAGAGCTCCTTCTACGTTTTATGGTGCACAATTCCGGGGTCTTGACCTGGTACTTCAACTATCTGAGCAACTTCAAAACTCGAAATTCTTATGGTGAGAGCCCCATACCGCATCACCTCCTTGACTAAGATCTTCATTTCCCAGGAGTAGAACCAAAGTCAGGCACAATGATTTCCAATAAAGTCAACGGTAGTCTGTACATCTGATATGGGAGGCCTACGGCTCTTATTTCAGTCAAGAACACAGAATATCATCCGTGGTCCAGACGTTCACTCAA